TGTCTAATTTAATTCGTGTTAAGTTTAATTCAACTTGTTTTAAATCTAATTTGATTCATGTTAAGTCTAATTTAATTCATTTTAAGTCTAATTTAAATTATGTTATGTCTAATTTAACTTGTTTCAAGTCTAATCTAATTCGTGTTAAGTTTAATTCAACTTGTTTTAAGTATAATTTCATATTAAGTCCAATTTGATTCATGTCAAGTCTAATTAAAATCATGTTATGTCTAATTCAATTTGTTTTAAGTCTAATTTAATTGGATTTAACATGAAACTAGACTTTAAAAAAGTTAAATTAGATTTAACATGATTTAAATTAGACTTAAAAGGAATTTAACATGGAGTAAATTAGACCTAACATGAACGATTATTAGACTTTGTTAGGTCTCATGTTTATGAGCCTACTATCTAATCTAGTTTTGATAATTAACAAACAATTTCTAACATTGTTTGTCGAGTGTTTGTATTTACTTGTTAGGATTCCTACACAAAGATCCTCCGTTAGAGGTTGGATGGAATTGCGCTTTCACGATGATATCTAATAGAGGTTGGCGAAAATTGGAATGAAGTCGTTGCAATTCAAGTCAAGATCCAATATCGCTTTATTTTCGCAACCAAGATGAGCTACTGAAGATCCATTGCTTGGTATATTAGTTTAGGTGTTTATAGTTTATGTGTTATACTTATAAGCTCAAATATTACACACATACACATTTTTTTATTTTATCGGTTTCAAGTTAAATTGTAGAAATATGAAACTAATAAGTTATATTCATATACATATATACTAGTTTCCTATTTATTATTTTTTGTTTGGGAAAATAATGTGTTCACGGATTAAAAGACTTGATTATACTACTTCATATCCTTTCTAAAAGTCTATTAACCCATTTTGCAAAATCTCAAGAATACGCAAGCTTGTTTGAGAAAATTTCAAGTGTTTAAGATTTCATATTTTGCCTATTTTGAAAAATGATGAGTTTTTACAAACGGGGAATGCTATTTAAAATTTTTCTTTTCTAACATGTTACTATTCATGTTTATAAACATTGTCCCAAATTTTATAATTTTTAGAATTTATTTGCTATTTTTAAAATGACTTTAAAAATTAAATTCACTATTCAAAATTGGTCTGTGCATGTTTATGAGTCGACTGACACTGTTCATCAGTTGATGACACTGTTCACCAGTCGACCGATGAAATGTTCTGCAATTGCCAAAAATCTATGCTCAATCGATTAATCCTCATTAGTCGACTCATTAATGGACCGATGAGTCAACCGATAGGCTTTTTAGCAGTTGTAATAGTCAGCTCATTAGTCGACAGACGAACCCATCAGTCGACTAACGGCTACTATAACGGCTAGTTTCCAGTTTCCTGATTTTCAGGGATTTTGTTATTTTTGTTTGATTTTTCTAGGTTTTTAGGGTTTGTTCTTGGAACCTATATATACCACTTAGCCTCAACGTTCTGAATTATCAAAGAAAAATTTAAAACAAGTTTTTGTAAGTTTGTTTAAAGGTTTTTAAGTGTGTTGTTCATGTGAAGATAGTTTCACAAAAAGAGGAGATCATTTCGGTTTGAGCTTCAAATTTTCATATCTCCATCTCTTGTCTTCAGAGAAGTTTTTCTAAACTTATCTTCTAGCTTATTCATATTTTGATTCATATATATTTGTGCTAAATTGATTTAAGTTTAGTTTTTATTTTACTTATTGATTTCACACACGCCCTATTGAGCTTTTTAATATTTCACATTAAGTATTATTTGATTTGTGGTGAGTGAATCATTGAGTGTGAGTTTACACCTTCGTTCTCATTTGTATTAGAGAAAAATATTGTATTTGAGCTTAATCATCGAGAGATCACATTATAATATACAAGAACACCGATAGAAATGGTTGGTGAGAGACGAGGTTAATTCCAAGAGGAGTGACGTCGATTGTAAATCTTAGGGAGAGGTAGTAATTCCGAGTACTTGAGCAAAGTGACACGGGCTAGGCCAACACTTAAAGGAGTGTATTGTGTATTAACAATTGTGTGAGTTGTAAAAGTTTTCGGTGAACTTAGAAAACCGATTGTGTAGTTGATTTTGAGATAGTGGAGATTCTCCTCGTGGGTGAGGAGCGGAGACGTAGGTCGAGAGTGACCGAACTCCATGATCATTTGATTGTGTTTGTGATTGTTATTTGCGCACTATCTCTTTCATTTGTGTTTTATGTTTATTTCGCCCTTTGTTTAATTCTATACCTTTGCATATATCATTTGTGTATATCAAAATTGCTAGAGTATTGTTAGTAAGTTTTAAAATTGGTGTTAACATCGGATTAGATTAGTAAATACCATTTTCACCCCCTCTAGGGTAATTTTAGACTTAACATGAACTGAATTTAGACTTAACACGAATCAAGTTGGACTAAACATGGAATTAGACCTAACATGAACTGTTATTAGACTTAACATGAACTGAATTTAGACTTAACATGAATCAAGTTGGACTTAACATGAAATTAGACTTAACATGAACTATTATTAGATTTAACATGAACTGAATTTAGACATAACACGAATTAAGTTGGACTTAACATAAAATTAGACTTAACATGAACTGTTATTAGACTTAACATGAGCTGTTATTAGACTTAACATGAACTGAGTTTAGGCTTAACACGAATCAAGTTAGACTTAACATGAACTGTTATTAGAGTTAACATAAACTGAGTTTAGACTTAACACAAATCAAGTTGGACATAATATGAAATTAGACCTAACATGAACTGTTATTAGACTTAACATGAACTGAATCTAGACTTAATACGAATCAAATTAGACTTAACATGAAATTAGACTTAACATAAACTGTTAGACTTAACATGAATTGAATTTAGACTTAACATGTGGTAAAATTAGACTTAACACGAAACAAGCTGGACTTAATATGAAATTAGACCTAACATGAACTGTTATTAGACTTAACATGAACTGTATTTAGACTTAACACGAATCAAGTTGGACTTAACATGAAATTAGACTTAACATGAATTGAATATAAACTTAACATGAACTAAAATTAAACTTAACACGAATCAAGTCAGACTTAACATGAAATTAGACTTAACATGAACTATTATTAGACTTAACATGACTGAATTTAGACTTAACACAAATCAAGTTGGACTTAATATGAAATTAGACTTCACACGAACTGTTATTACTTATTAGACTTAACATGAACTGAATTTAGACTTAACATAAACTGAAACTAGACTTAATATGAATCAAGTTGGACTTAACATGAAATTAGACTTAAAATGAATTAAATTAGATTTAATATGAATCAAATTGGCCTTAACATGAAGTAAAATTGGGCTTAACATGAAATTGGATTTAAAATAAGTTGGAATAGACTAATATGATTCATGTTAAGTCTAATTCAACTTATTTTTAGACTTAAAATAAGTTGAATTAGATATAATATGATTCAAATTAGACTTAAAAGGAATTAAATTAAACTTAACATGAATCAAACTGGACTTAATATGAATCAAATTAGACTTAACATAAAATTAGACGTAAAACATGTTAAATTAGACTTAACACGATTCATGTTAACTCTAATTTAACTTATTTATAGACAAAAAACAAGTTGAATTAGACTTAACATGATTTAAATTAGACTTAAAAGGAATTATATTACACTTAACATGAATCAATCTGGACCTAATATGATAGATCTGGAGAGAACGAAGAGAGAGGAGAACATGAGGGTATTTTGGGCTTTTATGTTTATTTCTCTCTCATTTTGCTTAGTTAGCATGATAATTACATTAAAAAAAAACTGTAACACATGACGTGACACTTCTTAGAGCTGAACCACGTAGAAAAAAATGAAAGGGCTGCAACACATGAGAATATTGCTTTTGAGGCATTAATACAATTTTCAAAAAAAAAAAAGGAAAAAAAACCCTAGCGGAGTCTATTCGCAAAAAGGCCCACGGGGAGTCTATTCGCGTTGCAATTATTCCAAAAAATTCGCATTCTCCCTCGAGATTTGTCAGTCGCTCGGAGATCTCTCTCTCGCGCTCTCGTTTTTCTATTCTCGACCTCTCTTCGTTTTTCCTGTCGATCTCTCTTGCTTACAACTCCTCATCTCGATCTCCTTCTATCTGCCCTAATCCTCTCTCGATCTCCTTATCCCTCGATCTCCATCTTCTTTCTCGTCGCCGTCGCCGTCGCCGCCGCCTCTCGTCGAGGTAACCTTGACATAACCCTAGTCCTTTCTCTCCTCTCTCTTTCTCTTACCTTTTTTTAATTTTTTTCTTTTTTCTTTTTTGACAATCAGGGCTCGATTTGATCTGAGAGAGGAAGTTTAAGGCCATTGTCGAGTGCACCAACACTCGGAACCACTAAGGTATCAAAATCCGCCCCTGTGATCTTTTATTAGGTTTTGCTTGCTATATGTTTGATGAAATGCTCCCTAGACTTATTTGTATCAATAATTGATCTTTTTGCATTTGGATTTTTTTATTCATTGTTTGAAATTGTTTTATGAACCATATCCTGCACTCTTTCACTGATAGCCGCTTACTTTTATGATTAGCAAAAGTGGATAACATTTGGATTCAGCATCCATTGTAGTGATTGTTGCCTCTGTTGCCAAATATTTCTGACTGCAAATTTTTAATTAAAATGATGAAATATTAAAATCCTTTGTTTGCTATCTATTCTTTGACATAGGTACTATGAGTTCTTAACTGAATATTTAGAAACTACTTGATTATTAAAATTCTTTGGACAACATCAAGGAGAATAGTCATGAGAATTGTTCAAAGTTGAGAGGAGTTTTCTTATGTTTCTATGTAAAATATTTGGTAAGCAATAAATTAGTTGCTAAAGTTAAATGGATTTACATTTTGTAGAAAAAATGCAGCATTTGTCAATATGGCTATATTGTTGTAACAACTTTTGCAAATTCCTTTTTTGGGGTAGAGATCTTTTTACATCCTTGATTGTAAAGAATTTCTTCAACTCACCAGTAAAAACTTTTCATTTTTGAGAATCCCATGAATAATATTATTTACATAAATTATGGGGGTGTTTGATAAGTTTAATGTGAATAGAAAATGTGAAAGTCACTTTGTTTTGCTAATAAGAAAGTGTATCTATATCAACATGCAAGTGAAATACAATGTTCAAAGTGTATCTATATCAACATGCAAGTGAAATACAATGTTCATTTACAAAAATAAATTATTCTTGAAAGTAGAAAAGTAAAGGTAAGGTGGCAATAATATTTATTGATTTTAGATAGTATTTCCCATATATTTTGATAACTACAAATAAATGAATTGAAAGCGAGTTATATACACTAGGTAAAATTAATTCTTTATTTGAAAGCGAAAATACTTTACAAAATTTTATTTGTGATATTATCATTTTCTATTCATATTATCTGTTATAAGTTCTTTATATTTTATATGCATTACATATTTAATTGTAATTTTTAATAACATGTAAGTTATGTATTTTTGCATGATAATAATCTCAATAATTTTAGGGACTAATTTAAAAAATAATAAAGTTTAAGGGACAAATATAGATTTCCCAATAATAAACTCCCGTCCAATCCTTAAGTTCTAAACCTATCAGACATGCAAAAAAAAAATTTGGACACAAAAAAATATTTAATAAAAAATTTATTTATTTTAGTTAAAAAGGGTCCCACTTTTTCAACTTTTATATTACTTTTGCACGTTTGTAAGTGAAGATTTTTTGCATTTCATTTTCAAATACACTTAATAAAACATACACCTAAATGGATAAAAGTGAGTCACTTTCACACCTTTATTATTCGCTTGCAAATAACAAGCACCAGTGACATGCGAAAAATTTTAACTGTGGGATCCACTAAATAAACCAACACAATTTAGCTAAATAACAACTGTATTAATTCTCTTCAGTCAAGATTGTAGAGAATTTGAACTATTTTCTTAATGCCACATCATCAAGTTAGTTAACTTAAATCAAGAAGATGTAAGTTTCTTTTGCAGTTTTGAATAAACAAACACTTGGTTTGAAATGAAAACAAATTCATAAAACAAATGAAAAAACATTGAATTTGGATTTGGAAATACTTCCCATTATAAAGTGCAAACGTCCAAACGATGGATTTGAGGTTATTTCCAGCAATAAATGCTGCATGTGACATCTACTGCGTGCGACATTTGATGCATTTGCAATTGCAACACACAAACAACCACCAAAAAATTATATATACAAGTGCGAAAATGCGCATGCACTTTCTATGTCATACTCTTGTACGAGGCCAAAATGGTCATTTTTAGTAGTGCGGGTGCAATCCAAAGCAAAGTTAACCCAAACTCTCTAATCCGACCCTAAAACATATTTGTTTAATGCACTATAATCTCAAGTACCCATCTCTGCTTCCACTCTCCGCAACAGTGTGAGATTCATGTGCAAAACCATCACAATCAACACACGTCCTTGTGATCCCCCCTCGCCTTAACTCCACTTCATTGCTCTTTGTTTGCTCCAACTTCAACCCTAATCATCTCTTTTGATCAATCAGAATCAAAATCAAAATAAAGATAGAGTCGTTGCATCATGGAGGATGCTTTTGCAAGATCCGTGGCGGAGGTGAGCAAAGCACCTCTTTTTATCTCTTGTTTAATTTCGAGACAAAGTTATTTTGATGTGTGAATTTGCTTTTTGGTTTAGGTTCTGGAAGCATTTCGAGTGGATCCGACCAAAGGCCTCTCGGATTCACAGGTAGTGATGCAATGCGTTGCAATTTGATATTTTTTTTGTATGATTTGTTTATTAAAATGATCTAATTTATGTTTCTTTATGGTTCGTAATGATAGGTCGAAGAGAATGCGAGGATATACGGCAGAAATGGTACACACGCTTGAATTTTATTTGATTTCTATAGTAAATTGGTTGTTTTTTTACGTTATCTGTACTTTGAATTTTATGACGATACAAGTTTGTATGACAAAAAAGAGATTATTTCAGTATACTGGTGTAACTATTGTATTATACTTATGGTAGTTATGATAATCTATACTACTTATAAAAGAGAATACCCATATCAAAACTTTTAATTTCCTATTTTGCCCTTTCAAAATTTGATAATTCACAATTATACCATTAGTTATAAGTAATCCTTAAACAATTATCCATAACTTTTTATTAAATGCACCTACTGCTCTCTCTTAAAATATTTGGTCAAGAATATAATTATTATCAATAGTTTATAATCTAACACTACAAACAAATGCTTAGGTCTATATTTAGAATTTTAGAATGTCAATGTTCACCTTTCGGGCTACCTTAATTGCATGTCGGGGGGTTTGCGACCTACTCTCCTCTCTAAGAAGTTGAAACGACTGTTTTGAGGGACATTAAAGTTTAAGCAATGAGAGGACAAGGGTTTTGTGGAGACAACCTAAGAGGTAGAATTTGAGAATGATACACCTCATTCTTCATTCTTTGTGTCTTTTGAGCACCAATTGCTAATGAGCCCAAAATTTTTACTCAAGATTATAAATTTCTTCCCAAGAAGTCGCACAATAATATAAGACAATTGATCAAATAATTATAATAACAAGATGTAGAGTCTAGACTTTTAAAATTCAATTTGAATCAAGGCATAAACTACGAACCAAATTAACTAACAAACAACACTTTTTATTTTTATTTAACTTCTCTTTCATCTCTTGAGTATAAATTAGCTCACACATTTTCTTCCACTCACCATAATACGTACTAAGCCAAACTCATACAATTACAAGAGAAAAGCTCAACTAAAACTCCGCTTGGATTAAAATGGAAAATTTAGCAAAGCACAAGATGTCGACTTCTTTCGTAAATTTGCTCAAGCATGTGTTAGCATGGTATGTTCCTCTATAATTCAATTAGAATTTTAAAAATGTGTTTCGAAACTTGATTATTGTAGAAATGAGTCAATTCGGTACAATTTAAGTTGCTACAATCAATTTGACGATTAGTTTTCTTTTTAGATACATTGGGTTCACTCGAAATTCAAAATGTATTATGAAAAATCTGAAACGAGCAAATGTATCTTGATATCTCATTAGATTAAATACTTTTAAAATTCAATCCGCTAAACGCATTTCACAGTGTAATTTGAAAACACATTGTACCAAAAAAATCTATGATGCTAATATCATGAAGTAAGGGTACAATTAGGAATGTATTAGGCTACTTTTATTACCCTTTTGATGTTACAGTAAGAAATACAAAATGAACTTTCTTATCGTGATTATAGACAAAAAAGTTGAATAAATACTGCAACCAACATCATATTCACATGCATCCAAAATAAATTTTATATTTTTATTATAAATAAACCTTGATTACTAAAGTGATATTTTCTTAAGCTTTGACTTTTTACCTTCTAATTAATAACTCATTTTTATACATGACATTTATTTTTCATTTATTTCTATCTATTCCTCTCCTTCCAACCATCTGACTTCTATTTCTGAGAATTGAATAGCTTGGGATGACAATAAAGATGGAATAGATTTCTATGGAAATGCTACCACAATAATTCAGTGTTAAGGTTGTGTACTAGAGATTGATAAAAGACACATGAATGATATAATCAGTCTCTCTTGCAATTGTCACGGAACTTCAACTAGTGATAAGTCCCTATTTGCATGATATATCTCAATCATCCCGTCATGTCAATTTTAGCTTTAAGTTTAAGAAATTTATTTAGGAAAGTTCTTATTATCTAGCATTTCCTTAAATAGCTTGAACCTTAGTGTAAATTGAGCAAAAATGTATCTCTCATCTCTAATACTAAAGCATCTTTTAATGTTGCTATTGTGTTTACAGAATAAGTTTGTCATGCAGAGGATTATAATTTTTCGTCCTATTAATCCATGTTAGATATCAGCTATTTAGTAAATTCGACTCTCTATGTCTATATGTTTTGTTTCAGCTTCAAATGTTGATGACTAGTATAGACTTTGATAAAGTATTTAAATTTGAAATATGATATGAATTGGTTCCTTTTTTTATTTCATTACCCTATAGATTCAAGACTCTTTTATTACGTCCTTCATTTATGTTTCATGAATATTGGTAAAATTTAAACTACCTGAGGTACATGAATGAATCGAGAGTTGTCCATCGATTCACTTCATCATTTTACGGTCCACATTTAAAATTTTCATTGTTAAACAAGCATGCTCACGTGCAACGCACGTGCATTTTACTAGTTACTTCAAAATTTAATATTTCAAGAACTAAAAGTTTTGTGACATGGGGAAAGAGAACACTTTATTTTTTATTTTAACTAAGAGAGGAAGATGTTTGGTTAGGAGTAGAGCATAATCTGGTCTAAAGCTAGAAGGATTATTGTTATTCTTATGGGCGTTAGAAGTTCTTTGGGATCTTTTATATGCGTGCTGGCTAATGTACTTTTGAGAAGGGGTCCCATTTACTAAGGGTGGTCTACAAATAAAGAGATGTGCCTTGATGGAAACTGCACGAATTTTTGTGTGTTATTTCCTTTGTTTAATTAAGGGGAGCTTATTTAAACTGCAGAAGGTTTTAAAATGAAAAATTAGAAAAGCATTCTTGCTTCTTACGTAAGCTCAAAGATAGCAAAGTGAAACCAAAAAGATAACCTGTGAGGCTGTGAATCAAAATGACAAGTCTGCTTTAGCATTGCAAAAAAAAAAAAACCCTAATGGTTGCAAAAAAAATATGTTACCAATAAAATAATTTACATGCACGAAATAATGTGATAAGCTTGGTTGGTTCAAATAAAATAGTGTATATGCATTGCACTCTATAATATGTCCTTTTAGAATCAAATGCTGAGTGTGGGCCTAGTTATCTCCTTATTGAATGATTTAATCTTGTCGCGTCTTTTGATGAGTGAAAATTCGAAACTTGTTTTTCCTTTTAGAATGAAATACATGTTCGCTTTAGCATATCAAGAAACACCTAACAGTTGCAAAAAACATGTTACCAATAAAATAATGTACATGCACGCAATAATGTGATAATCTTGGATGGTTTAAGTAAAATAGTGTATATGCACGCTATAAGATGTCCTTTTAGAATCAAATGCTGAGTGTAGATCAACTTGCCTTCGAACTGAAGGATTCAATCTTGTCACATCTTTTGATGAGTCCAAAACAATGAAAAATCCATACTCACTTGTCATATTGCCTCTTATGCCCACTGTCATCATTTATGAGAGAGAGAGCTTTGAGCTTTGTAGATTTCCCATCCGCCAAGGGATTTGGAGCACTTTCAACAAATATTTTGTTCATCGTCGTGTCCCGTGCTTTATCAGACATAGGAATCTCTCATGGATATAAATGTCTTGAGGTCGTACAATCCTTATTTACATCATTTAAGTTTCTTTAGAAGGCCAATTACGCTGTCCTTATCTTGGTTCTCAAGGAGTTGGAAAATCCATTTGACCGTAGGCATGTAGTTTATGATATTCTTTACACAAGATTGTCTTTAACATAACAACTAATATGATGCCTTATTTTTTTTCCCCATTTGGTCAAATTTGATCTCATATTCTTCTCCTGAGAATACTGATCAATGTATCCATGGTTAGAAGAGGAATCTTGTCTTACAGACAATGACATCAATTCCTATTTATCATACGAGAATTAAATTTCTTCAGTATCCTATTATGATGATAAGGAGAGAAAGATGAAAGCCTTCATACTAGGGATTGAGGTCTGATTCTTGTCATTTAAAGAAAAAGAAGAATTAGCTTTATAGTTAGGCAAAAGGCCACTGTCAATTAATTTATGAAGCTTCATGGGCGGTTGGATTGTGTCCTTCATTTAAGCGGGATCTAATTCTCAGAGTAAATTACTGCTAACAAACCCACTTTATTTGAACATGAATCAACCATCTTTTCCTATTTGGCGTGAAAATCATGTTGCTTTTTAGTTGAACTCATTTTGATTTATTATTAATTGCATGAACATGCACATTTTACATGATAAAGGAGTATCTTTTAGGTTTGGACTTCTTTATAGACCTAAGATATTAATAAATCTTGCAAACAACAAATTGTATCCAAGCTTTCATGGATCACTTTAACTTCTGGTTAGTGTCGACCCTTTTATCATCAACACATTCCCCCCTTTTATCATTAACAACCTTGTTTGGTTGTCTCCTCAAAGCTGTAGGTTCTTCAACACATCATGTTACCCATACCTTTTTGTTCATCATCAATTGAAACCTTTTCCTGCTAGACTCAAGAGTTAATGTTGAGGCTGAGAATTTCTTAGGTTCCAAGGTACACAACAAAGATATAAAAAAAATATTTTTAATATATGCAACCATCAACTAGGCAAGCTGGTTAGTTTCTTGCCCACCCCTATGATCAAGTTAGTATGAGTGTTTAAGAAAAGAAAGTAGTGAAAGATTAAAGAGCCACAGTGAGGAACCCTATCAGAGTTTGGAGAGATTTCTATGCTGTCATTCTTTGTTGGCCCATCCACAAATAGTTTCTTAATGTACCAGGCCTTATTTCGCTTGATAATTCGTATATGTTGTTTCTCAGTTAGTCATTAGTATTTGTTGCCGTTAAAGTGGTGTTACATTATTTTATCCTCCAATTGTTAATATTCCTTTCCATCCAAGGTGATGTTCAATCACATTATCCTTGACAATGACATAGCCATCCTATGTTTCTAGTCCCTCCATTTTCATAATCGTCAGATATTCTAGAACTACACGTGTCATACAACCTCCTTCCATGAATTAAGCTCGTTCTTTGATTCCTAACTAATATACTCTCTACCAACGTAAGACCGCCCAAGCTATTAAAAGCGTGAGTCCTTGTGTTCCACCTCCCATCAAGTGCTACAATTTTGTCTTCC